TATTCTTCTTCTTCTTCATCTTCTTCTTCTTCTTCTTCTTCTTCTTCTTCTGATTCTTCTGATTCTTCTGATTCTTCTTATTCTTCTTCTTCTTCTTCTTCTTCTTCTTCTGATTCTTCTGATTCTTCTGATTCTTCTTATTCTTCTTCTTCTTCTTCTTCTTCTTCTTCTTCTTCTTCTTCTTCTTCTTCTTCTTCTTCTTCTTCTTCTTCTTCTTCTTCTTCTTCTTCTTCTTCTTCTTCTTCTTCTTCTTCTTCTTCTTCTTCTTGGTATGAAAGCTTGGTTTTATTTGAGTTCAAGATATTCAGGTCTTTGCTTTTGCTCTTTGTGATCCTTGTCTTTAGCTTGGCACCAGGGCGGCTTGCTCATCGTGCTTATGGCTTGGCCAATTGACATTGTCTTCGATTGAGTGCTCTTATTTCACAATGATAGGTGGGTTACCCTTTCTTTGAACCTTGTCAATGATCGAACTTAAAACAACGGGCGGCCTACCTGACAGCTATCAATCATGAACTAGCAGGATGGACTGCCTTTGAAGTCGGCATTGTTTATATAAATTAGACTTTAGAATAACAACTCTCTATCCGTGCTTCCTTTCTATCACTACTAAAATTCTTTACTTACTCCCTTGCTATAGCTTTCCTTACTTGATAGCTTCGCTTGTTTACAGGTACAGGATAGGTCGCTAAGCTCCTCTTCATATCTGTGGGGCCAGGCCAATAGTAGTACTTTTTCGCTTATTCTTTCTGGGCGAGGGCACCCCCTTTCAAGTCTCAAGGTTTGGAACCAACTCTACTAGGTTGAGGAACCCACAGGCAGTATAATGTTACCCCACCTTCCGTAGGCATTTTCGGGGAGTAGCCTGCTTAAGCATACACTTGTATTGGGCTGCGGAGGATCCCGAATCCCGGGGATCCCGAGGCGGCTCCCGCTCCAAAATAAGACCATCACTGGAAAAGAAATAACAAATAATACAACACCCTCACGATTCAAAAAATGAATATTCGTCAAGGTCGGCATCCCGGATTCCCTTGTTCCGGATATCGGCAAAGATCAAATCAGCCTCACGTAAAATGGCATTATTATTGGGGTTTTCCGCAATAACTTGCAAGATGTGAAGTAGGCCTTCTTTACTATTTAATCAATCTTTCGCAACGAGCTCAAAGACCCGCCGCGACTTATTATGGGACGGCATCGGTCTCCCATCAGGTGTCCCCATGCTATGGACATACGTCAGAATGACACGGTGAAGAGCCCAATACCCGTTCGGTAGGTTTGGACTCTCATGGCGGTCATCTGTGTACACTGGGGGCTGTTGCGCCGGTGGATTCGCTATAGGTGGTGCTTGTTGGCCGGCAATCATAGGGTAAGCGGAGAAAGTTTACATGTTGGGCCAGGCTAGTTTGCTTCGATGGTAGGAGTCCACGCAGTGAGGCAGCCATTTCCAGTGACCTTTTTGGGGGTTGGTTCTATACGAGGAAATCGAATATGGTCCCTGTCTGTCATCCAATCCAATAGGCATTTAGGGATCCCCGATTGTAGATTGTAGTGAGCTTTTGGTAGTCCTATGCCTGTCTCTCCAGCTTGTCTATGTCTATGTGTTTGCATATGTCTTTTCAAGGGATGGCTTTTTATAATGACCTTAAATGAAAGCGCAAGAGCTAATGATAAGGAGCTAAAGGCCTACATTCTAGTATACCAGGATCGTCACGAGAGGATTGGGGAAGGTCTAACTATGGACCGGACCATAAGACACAGTTTCTTATGGCCTAGTATAGGATATCTTTCTGTTCCGCTGAAAAGAGATAAGCACTAAGAAGACGACTATTTTGTGTTGAATATGCTTTCTTCCACATAGGCTAGCTTCCTCCTTGTGGCGAACAAGACTGAGAATTCTTTATTCTATTTAGATATATATATATATATATATATATAATATATATATATATATATATATATATATATATATATATATATATATATATATATATATATATATATATATATATATATATATATATATATATATATATATATATATATATATATATATATATATCTATTATAATATAAGAATACGAGTCACGCTCTCTCTTTTTTCGCCCTTCTTCCCGCTATACTTATCTCTTTTGGACCTTGTCACAGCCTAAAAACCCCATCTTATTTTTATGATTCGGATTAGTTCAAATAGCCTTGATAAAGACCAAGACCCAGGGCATATGATGGAATGATTTTCCTCACCAAAGCCTTCGATCATCATGGAATCACGCACGTTAAGAGATGAGTGATCCACGCGAACTAGCCAAGTGCAAAGTCTTAGCGCGGGGACCCCTCCACAGCTAAGTTATTTATTTCCTATACCAAAGCTTTTCGGCTGGGCTGGGCCTATTGCGAGCCCACGTCAGGTTTTCCAATGACTTTGCTTACCTTGTCCTCTAGTTGGTTGGCCGAATCATCTCTTCCACCGTAGTGGGAATGTTTTTGTCTAGCTGTTATAAACATATGAAAGACCGGCCCAGTTCGTATCAGGGCTTCTGTTTGTGGAAGCATGTAATCTTAAAAAAATAAATAACCTGTAGCTACGGCCGTCCCTGAACTTTTGTGGCATTGCCCATGGCATGGGCATGAGCACAGCACCTATGTATGGGCAATACCTCCCTATATTCTTTGCAAGAGACCATTCCCTCACAGTCTATGCTCCTTCTTGCTACAAAGGCACCCTTGAAACTTGGAAGATTTATTCTAGTAAGATGGCAGGCAAAGTCTAGCAGGGGCAAGCCTAAACCTCTACTTCCACCGTCGCAGCCTATAACTCTAAAGCTAGAGTATAGTATATCTAAAGTGCGCTTTTGGCATATTTATCGTTTTAGTTGAAAATGTCACTTGCACAACTCTTCATAACAGCCCCTTCTATGCCTAGTGCTTTTGCAAATGGGCAATTTATGGGCATCTGAGAACAAGCCCTTAATTTTATTCTTCAATTGCGCAAACCAAGACACCTACTCTTTTTATGTTTTCTGAACAGCGCAAATTATTGAGATGCTAAAGAGGGACTGGACTGGCCAAAGGGATAAGGTACATCCTGTTGATGTTGAGCATTCTATTCTTCTTGCTCACTCAAGATATACTGACTTGTTTTCATGGAGCGAAGAACGCTTTCTTTCTCGCTTACTCGAGAGCTAACCTAGAATAAAGAGTCTTTGACATGGCGTCAATATGGCTTAAAGAAGGTCGCTATGCCTCGAAGAGTTATATCGTAGCGCTTTCAAAAAGATCTTTTTTATCCTTATCCTCTGTAAGCTAAAAGGATATATTCTTAGGTAGTGACTCAATAGCTCTCCCCTCTAGTTTTCCCCCAATCCTCTCCTGCTCATAATAGGGCTTTAAAGGGCTATGTCATCTAGAAAAACGGATCCATTAGCATTAGTCTCCTTTTCTTTTTTTTTTTGGTTAGAGCCTATCTTATATGCTTTCTTATGCCTTTGCAGTGCTTCAACATTTTGTTTTGGTAAGGGACACGAGTGAACAAAGGAGAGGTTAAACTGCTTACTAGCGGCGAAAGAGCTTCTATATCGAAGTTCCACATCTTTGTGACAAAGACGATGCTAGTCTTTTCGAAGAATTACCTGTTGGAGGAATACTATAGGGACTTTTCTCTCGAGAGATGGGGCATATCCGCTCTTAGCAGCATTCCTCCTCAGATGGACAGAGCAGAGCCTTATTAGTGATCAGTCCGCTAGTTTCCTGGATCCCACTCGGTCTTCCTTTTCCCTTTGCTCCCTGGATAAGTCTCATTCGATGTCGCAACCGATGCTTAAAACATATTATTTATTCTATCTTCTCAGTCTTCGATCGATCATTCTCTGCTTCATAGAGGAGGGGTTTCCCAGCTAACAAGGAAGCGGGATTTAAAATAGAGGTAAATTCTAAATTGGACCAAGGTGGCCTATACACCAATTGACCAACACCATTCCTGAAGAAACGAAGATCGTTGCAAGAAGACCCCCCCCCCCCCCCCCCCCCCCCCCGTGTAAATGGCAGAAATTTGACAGCAGTAGAACGAACCTTGGGCTTGACATGACAGCACCTCACGGCTCCCTTTCAAGATGATCAATGCGGCTAAGCGGGGCGGATATGCCGATGGATGGAGGCGGCTGCATGCTGCATCTAAGAGTTTAGTTCCATGAGACTGAATAACATGGCCTCAAACGAAGTAAACTCACTTTGCTTAACACAGGGCAACAGAGCAGGGCTTCTTTCTCACCCTCACCCGTCATCCAACATGGTTCGCACCAGCGTTATTTGACTCGCTTAGTCCATCGCTGCTTGGCTCTACTTCAACCACTACAGACGGTTCCCTTGCAGCTAAAAGAATGCGATAGAACACCTTTTCTTACATCAAGAGATGAAAGTCGTCAAGCAGGCAACAAAGTCGACTATTCGTCTTCACTTCCTCAAAAGTGCTAAAAAGAGCCCCTGAGTGCAGACCCATCCCCAAGGGACTAAACGCATTAAGTTATCTTTCAAAGAGCTTATTCGAGAACAACCTATTCTAAAAGCAACCTATTTTAATTTGAAAATAGCTTCTTTTAGGGATGACTGTTCTGCAGCGGTAATTGCAAACAGAAAGGGAGCACCGCTTACTCAAGCACTAGTACCGTCTAAGCATCCCATAGCTGATGATTTATTTCCTTCAAACCTTCCACCAGGAGGATGCTACTTCTCTTTTCTATTCTTTTACAGATTACTTTCCCCAGGAATGCTTGTTGTCAGCAGTTAAGGGACAGAGGGAAGGTGACGAAGGTAATCCTACTACGGCACTAAGACTCATTCAGTCTATTTGGCGACTATTCCCACTGCACAGCTACTGCTGTAAGGAAGGAATTCGGTTTAAAGTTTGTTTTGTTGCAGGGAATCTGGTTTGAAATTTATTACACTCCTTCTCTCCCTCTTTCCTGTGCTAGCAATCCGGTAATTCGGTAAAGAAGTAAAGCAGGAAGTCCAGTAAGCCAAGGAGAGATCCCGGGAAAGCCAAAGCTGTGCTTTACTTACTTCTTCTTATACCCTTGCAGGGAAAACAAAATAATACATACCAATGCCTTATCTTGGCATTAGGAGTTCATTAAAAAGGTAAGAAGGAATGGCCGGATGTAAAGAGATGTCCCTGAGACTAGTGAAATCCTAAAATAAGGTAAAATAGTAAGACTAGCAATTCGGGATAGAAGGACTAATTTACTTATATTTAGCCCTAGAGGAGATCGAGACTGGTATTAGTTACTTTATAGAGGCGAGGAGGGGAAGATAATGACATTGATAAAAAAAACCTCTTCGTAAAGAAAGAACAGACTTAGAGCTTATCGACGAATGCACCAAAGAAAGGTAAAGGTCAGACTCCTAATTCTAAGCAGCCTCCGATTCTTGCAACTCTCACATGAATTTACTTTTTTTCCGCTTTCACTAAGGGAAAGAGTCTGTATTTACAGCACAGTAGGGAGATAAAATTCATGTACTAGAGAGGAAAGCAAGCCAAGAGCTCTGACTTGAGGCGAAGAAACAAAGCTCACTTTCCGCGCCAAAGAGAATCCACTCGTTTATCTAGTAGGGAGAGAGAGACAGTCAGGGTTGACTTGAGTGAGTGCCCAGGATTTACCCAGGTGGGGCATCCTGGAATCTGACTTCGGAGTTTCGGTTGAATTAAAAAACCCCGCTATAATAATTTAAATGTCTCTTCTTGTTTGTTTTCATCGGCTAAGGGGCTCTTATTATTAACCAGAACAAGACTTGGCTACATTTTGCGAAGGAAAAATAAAGCTAGCTTTTCTAGGGCCAAAAGGGGGAGTACCATGTAGTTAGGAAGATGATCGATGCCTAAAGCATGTCTACTTAAGATCTCTATCCTTTCTGGTGATCAAGATATCCCAAGAAGAGAGACCTGACGGCGCGCCTTTACTAGAAGAGAAGGAAAGAAGTCACTTACTAGAAATCTATTCCACTACCGCTTTCTTTCTCTCTGTCCATAACCATGACTCACCCACCTTTCCATCCCCCCTCAAAGATCCACCCGATCGATGAAGACTTGAACTGAACTCGCAGTGATCAAATCGACTTTGGAGAGTAAATCCATCCTCAGGGCAAGCCAAAGGAAGGACGGGATAGAGCTCCAAGACAGGCTGAAGGCAGAGAAGGATAAACGAGACAAGGAAGCAAAGTAGAAAATAAAGATCAGAATAGAATAGAGGTAACGGTTGAACGAACGGTACACCCAACTCTGTATACTTAGCCAGAAGTAGGGTGGGATACGATGGGAGAACTGACTTGGGTTTTGCGTTTGTATTCACACTTGTTCGGTTTAGCAAGAGTCGCCACCGACTTTTATTTTATCCTAAAGGAAAGGTTAAAAAGCACAGGAAAAACCTTTTGAGATGTTTCGTGGGTTCGGGGGGTAGATTATGAAAAGGGAAGGTATTAGCACCCTTTTCATCCATGGTTATCCATGGGCTCTTAGTTACTTGGTTTTAGATCACTTGCCTTGATTTTCGATTGCTTGAAATTGTGGTGTATGTGTGTGTTTTGAAAATGTTTTTGAAATAGACGCCTTTGTTTCGGCAACCGTTGTAATGATTCGTGTTTGAGTATATACAAGGGTGTGTATCTTTTAGAAAAGATGTTTCAAATGTTTTTGAAGATTGTTTTTTGAAAGTGTTTGTGGAGTGTGGTTTTTGAAAAGGAGGCCAGTGTTTTTGCAAGTTGATCTCAAGTAACTAAGAGTTTTGTCTACCCCTATTGTACTCAAAGGTTTTCTCTATGTTTTCAACCCCTTTTTAACAATTTTGTTCCACCATTGAATTTGGTGGACAATCTTGCGTTTAGGATGTTTAACAGGACGGGCGCGGGTCATCGTACGGACCATGAATGCAATAGTGCCAAGTGTCTTTGGCAATTTTCTTGAAGGGACTATGATCATTCCATTTAGGCGACTTTCGAAAGCGTCATCGAGGGACTTATGATCATTTTGAATTGTTTTGCCAAAGAAACTCGACGTGCAAGCATGGCCCATTTTGGAAGGCAACATGTGGGATTACCCTATGGGGTGCAAGTGTGATTGTGTATTGATTTCATGCATTTGTCTTTGTATTAGGTTATCTAGCGTTTGATTTTATGTACATACAAACCCTAGGTCTAATCATGGTATAATTCGAAAGCGGTAGATTGCGGGAATTTTAAAGTCTACGCTATTACAAATAGTATCCGGGAGTGGGGGTACAAATTCACAAATGGGGATGAGACTTTAGGAATGTAGTGTCCAATAATTTACAACCAAATCGAATCGCGATCAAATGTAATCAATGTAATGTATAGCAAAGTGTAATAATATCAAATGTATGATGTATCAAATGTAAAATGTATTGTGTATGTGTAAGTGTAATAGGCTTATTTACAAGTGCGAGAAATGTTAATGCATTATTAAATATGTGTTATTAAGTATTGGTCATTTATTTCTTTTGTTGATATGTACAAAGAAGAAAAATTAATTAAAGGACAAGAAAATGTTTTTAAGTTTTATTCTTTTATATATAAAAAGAAATTAATGTATTTGATTAATGTATATACAAAGTATTATAAAAAAGAAGAAAGAAAATTTTAAATTTAATTATATTTCAGGTATGTTATAAAATCTAAGTTAAACAAAAATGAAAAAAAGTTCAATTAATATTTACGTTTTGAAATATAACAAATAGTGAGATTTGTATATAAAAAAAGGTTTATTAAAAAAGTTCTTAATTTATTAAATTAAACTAGTGTTTGTTTGTTCTTTTTTTTTTATACAACTAAATAAAAGGTGATTTTTAGTATGAAATATATTATCTTAAGTT